TTCCATTATGCCTAGGCTTGCAATGCCTGCAAAAACCTCTGGGACTTCCTCAAGACTTGTGCATTGCTTCAGGTACAAACATGTGAGCTGGGGGAAGTGATGTGCAGAAGCCTCCCATCTAACTAAATCAGTCTTTACAATTTGCAAGACTTTGAGAACAGGGAAACACTCAGCCTTCATCTTCCACAGATTTCCCTTGAATGCATCCTCTTTTAGCTTGAGTATCTCAAGATTTTGTGATCTTCCCAATATTGACATCTGCTCCCAATCTAGCCGGGTGTTTGATAGAGTTAGATTATTTAACGTTGGTGGAAATTTGTAATCTTCAGGTAGGCGAAATAGTCTTTGACCTTCAGAAGGTGGCACAGCCGGTACCGCATTCATGAGCTTCAAATTTTTAAGATTCCTCAACTTGTGAAGACAATCAAATCCACCCTTTCGCAGCAAAAGTAAAACTAACGCACCACAAATGCTGAATTTCTTTATGTTAGGAATACTAGCAATCAATTCTGTCGTGCAACTTACTGGTGTTACTACGGAAAATGTTTGTAGACTCATCAAACAATAACCTTCTTCTGGTTTTGTAACCTGGTCAGGCAAAGATGTCGGGACATTTGTAATTAAATGTCTCAACTCACTCATCTTTCGTATATCTGCTTTGATATGAAGGATAGGTTCAGATGTCTCAATTATTAGAGTTTGCATTTTCCAGAGGTTAGAAATGACAGGAGGAATGATCTTGAAGCTGCCACACAAAACAAGGTACTTCAAATGTATCAAGTTATCTATATCTCCAGGAAAAGAGCGAAAACTTGTGGGTCTAACCCTTAAAACCCTAAGCAAATCAAAGGCTCTTATAAAGGATTCAATGTGCCTAGGTTCCATCACATTTTTTCTCGATGAAAAAAAGAAGACTGATCTTACATGTGAACCAAGTGATTTTGGATACATGAAGTTGAAAATTTCAGAAGAAATACAAAGGCGACGGACATCTGTCTTTCTAGGACTAGGACAGAAAGCTTCAGAGGTATCTTCATCATTGCATTTTATTTCAAGAAAAAAAAGTTCATCTTCTGCATGCTTCTTGCAGAATTCCTGCAACATGTCATGTATCTTACATGTTTTAACAGCACCATTTGACCTCCGCTTTTCAACAATAATTAAATTTCGATTGATGAGATCCTCCAAGTACTCCTCTGCAATATCCTCTAAATCCATTCCTTCTTTTTGTTCTATGAATCCTTCGGCGACCCATAGATAAAACAATTCATCTGTCGAGATTTCAAACCCTTTCGGGAACATTCCAAAGTACAAAAAACAAGCTTTCAAGGAATAAGGCAGACAGTTATAACTCTGTTTTATAACTTCGTGCATGCTTTTCTGAGGGTCCAAGAATAGGTATGTGTTCACAAAGTTATCAACCTTTTGCCACCAGTAACTTTGAGTACCTTTCTCAGATAGAATTCCACCAACCACCACTACAGCAAGCGGCAGTCCCTTGCATTTGTCAGCAATAGACTTACCGTGACTTTCCAAATGCTTAGGACAAAATGAGCCTAGTGCCTTCATCTGTAGTAAGGTCCAACTCTCCTCACTATTTAAGAATCGTAATTTATGTGGATCTCTTTTTGGATTGGCATGTTTGACCACATTCGACACGCAAGTGGTTATCAATATTCTGCTATGTTTCTCGTTTCTTGGAAAAATACTTACGAGATTATCCCAAGCTTCTTCACTCCATACATTATCCATAACAATAAAATACTTTTTATTCTTCAAACAATGGTAAAGTTGTTTATCTAAATTTTTGTCAGTCATCTCATACATCTCATGAGTCACCTCGATAAAATTCTCCAAAATAGTGAGTAATATATCTTTTCTAGTATAAGATTTCGAAACATGAACCCAAGCACGAAAACTGAATGTTTTTGAGATATCAGAATCCCAAAAAATCATTTTAGCCAAAGTAGTCTTACCAAGACCAGGCATGCCAACAACCGACACAACTTCTAGCTCATCTAACCCTTCATTGAGAAGTGTGATTACTTTCATTTTCTCATCTTCAAAGCCAACCAATCTATCTCCGCCTTCCTCTAAAATGAATTCCTATACAAGATGAACAAAGCTTGAATAAGAAAATATGGTGTCAATAATGAAAACAAGAAATAATACTCTACAGATAACATTATCCTTGAAACAGTGTCGTAGTTTTATCTACAGATATGTAAAAGTGTGCAAATTATAATGAAGTGTTAAATATGTTAAAGTCAATTCTTTATATTGCCTCTAACCTATTACAAGAACAACTTAAATCGTACAATGTAAATCATAAAATTCTATCCATAAATATCATTAATAACTTCCAATTTAAGTTCATGAATCTTTTTCTTTATAAAAATTCTATAAGGTATACGGTAACGTAAGCAAATAATGCTTACTTCAGTTTTCTTACCAAGAAGCACAAAAGAGCCTAAAATGAGCAAAAATCATATAGTTTTAACCTAAAGTCCAGTGCAGTCAATAAGGTGGATCCATCTATGAAGCTAAAGTAATGACATTGAAATTTTACCTTTTCATTGTGTTTGCTGCCACCACGTCCTTCCCCAACTAGTAGGCTCTCAAAATTATACTTGATCTCATACAAGTGTTTCACTTCTGTCCTGATAGACTCGATCTCGCTCTTCAATATTTTAAGTCTGTTCTCTTTCCAAAATGGAATCATTGTCTGGATAGAAGCCTCATGAACGAATTTGTCAATCATATCTTCAGACCGGTAAACCAAATCCCTAACTTGTTTCACAAATTCTGCTTCAATGGAACTCATATTGCTTTTTTTTGTATACTCGTTGATGAAGCTTTTAGAAATAGTCAAGTCCCTTAACAGATGTTCCACCTTCTCATTGACATCTTCAAGCATATCAACGTGGGAAACATAAAAGTTTTTTAGGTGTTCCAGCAGAAATGCCACACATGCATCCGTCATTGCAAAAAATTTCCTGCATACACAAGTAGAAATCCTTTTTGAAAAATGGAAAACACTATTATTTTCTTCTTCCATTTCGCACGATGTCAACCAAAGAGTAGTGTTTCACTTATCCATCTAGGTTATTAAAATGGATATTAAATCACTTCAACATTAGAGACAGTGCAATATTAAAATGGATTTTAAATCACGTCACTGTTTTATACTAAGAATATGAGAATGCAACTTTCAAGATTCATATTTAACTTGATTACCAACAAAATACGGATGAGCAGGTACAAGAGACTTGAAATGTTTCATTTTTCAACCAAAAAAAATCTGTTTAAATCATTTACAAGTAGAACTCTTAAAACACCTAAAACATACCATATTTTAGCTATGATAGGTTGCATAACATAAAATATCAATCACAAGAACATGATATCCAAGTAATTACTTACACAACCCAGAATTGGAGAATGCAACTTTAACAGATTCTTTTACTTGATTACATGGTAGAATGACAACCAACAAAATACACCAGCAGGGACGAGAGACATGAAATATTTGGAGATTTTGACAAGAAAATCTGGTTAAAGATTGGCTTTACCCAGCAAATAAATGCATAAACCAGAAAGGGGATATATCAAAACCGAAATCATTAGAAATTGATATGCAGTGATACCTATTTCTGT